CGCATCTCTCTCTCTCTCTCTCTCTCTCTCTCTCTCTCTCATCAGGAAGACGTTCCATTTGTTTGATACGAGCCGAAAATAATTGAGAACAAAAGAGTGAAACAATCTAGAAAAGACCATTTCAGCACTACTAAATTCTCATTTTAAGATCTTCGTATTCCCTGCGTATAAATACAAGCATTTTCATATCAACTTAATATAAGTTAGAAAAACACTTATAAGCCAATAAAAACTGATAAATTTCATCAAACTCCTTAACACGCATACAAATGGCTAGGAAGAGAACTGCTAGTGGATTTGATGAGAAGACTTGTGATGATCAAGAGAATGTTGCCTGGGACGAGATGGTGAAGGAAGCGACTGCCACAGGCGGAATCCGGCGAGCCCGAAAGCGATTTGTTGGTGTTAGACAAAGGCCATCAGGGCGATGGGTGGCTGAGATAAAAGATACCATTCAAAAGATAAGGGTGTGGTTAGGCACCTTTGACACGGCGGAGGAGGCTGCAAGAGCCTATGATGAGGCTGCTTGTTTACTCCGTGGCGCAAATACGCGAACAAATTTTTGGCCTATTTCTCCGTCGTCCTCTTCCACTCCGGCATTGCCATCGAAAATCACTAAGCTTCTTCTTAGCAGGCTAAAGTCCAGGAATAACGCGTTAGCCTCTTCTTCATCGGGGTCTCCTTTCTTGCCTGATGATCATGTTCGCGATCATGACGAGCAACCAAAACAGCAGCCTGAGGAGTATAGAGACGAAGAAATGGCTGATTCTTCAGCTTCTCAATTCACTGATTTTCTGAATGATCACCCAATTGATGATAGTATTATTGCTAGTGATTGTACATACTCATCAAGCTTTGAATCCTGCATAACAGAAATTGATAATTTGGAGAAAAATTCGAGCAATTTACTGCAACAAACTAATGATCAGTACTGCTCGAGTGGAAACGACAACGTAGAAGTAGAAGAAGAAATTCACGACCAAGAAAACACGAGCCTTGAAGTTGAGGATTTCCAATTCATCGATGAAATTGGATCGTTCAACTGTTCCACTTTTGAGATTGCTGAGGAGATCTCATTGGAGGGTTACGAAAATGAGCCAATGATGGTTGGTGAGACGATGAACAGGAACTATGAAAGGAAGTTCTCGGCTTCTCTTTACGCATTAAATGGTATAACTGAATGCCTGAAGTTGAAGCTCGAATCGGTGGATGCTACACAACAAGAAAGGTCTGATCAGTTGAGCAGACTCCGAAATGCATGTAAAGCGAACCAAGAAAAGATGAAGACAGGAGATGAAGGCGGCAAAATTAAAGGGAATGAGAAGAATTTGCAGGATGAGAATTCTCAAGAAAATTCAACGGATCATGACAGTGAACTGTCACTCTGGAACTCCATTGATCTCCAACCGATATGCTATGTCAATTAGTGTTTACACCATCAATTGCCGTGGAGTGTGCGCTTTTAGACAAGACTGGAACGTACAATGAATCCTTCACATTTCTTCCTATCAAACCAGTTGAAGTTTAGAGGGTATTGTATTCTGTGTTCATCAGCAAGGGCTGATCAAGGAACAAATAATTTATTTATATGAATTGTTATTGCAGAAAATAAAATCGAATACACTGTGTTGTTATTTCCTTTTTACAGATGAGTTCTTGTTTTTGGAAGATGATATCCCTGCGTACCAAGCTTTATCAGTTTTTGATGGATTTTTAGTGGCTAAGGATTCTTCAATTCTTCATATTTTGAGTTATCAGCATTTCGAAACATTGCTGAAGAATGCTCTAATTTTTAATTGCAACGAACAATATATAAAATAAAAATAAAATATAAGATAAGATCATTAATTTAAATAAATCTTTAACAATCTAGATCCATTAAAGCTCTCTTATTCATGCGAATACAGTGATTTTAAAAGATTTTAATAGACCTTAAACCATTGGATTTGCTTAAATTAAAAATTAATATTATTTTTAAATTGCATTATTTTCTATTGAAACATCTATCAATCAAAATCACTGTTCACGACTCAGAATTCTATTTTATCATCGGTTAATCCCATTCACCACCTCCAACCATATTTCGTATATATAACAACAGAGGTTGCAATTACATCAACATACCATAATTAAGTGGCAGAATCGAGGAAAACTACAGATGAAAACATGTGATACGCCAGGCAAACATTTGCCGAATTATGTAAACAAAAATCCTGAATATCTTCTCCAGTGAATGTGCAAAATGGAAGCAAGAAGCCCATTCTCCTAGCGAGTCGAACAAAAATATTGGCATGGCTCGACATTCCACGTCTAAAAGTGAGAATAGGAGACTTAGGACTTATATGTTACTAGTTATATTTACAGAATCATACTTTTCCAACATTGAAACCAACAGAGTTTGACGGAGAAGAAGATCTAAAGTTAGAGAACGCGAAGCTGAGCAAGGAAAGCAGCACAAAGATCCAGAAAAAGGAACTGCGGGCCCTGAACTCTCTGTAGATCGAGCAAGTATTTGTCTTCACGAGTTTTGTAAAGCTGTAAAAACAAAAAGGCCACCCAAGCACAATTAAAATTAGCACATAACAATGTAGGGACATTTTGTCAGAAAATGTAAGGACATTTTTGAAATGGTTTTACTAGCCGTAAATTACAACTGATGTAAGATAACCAACCACGAAAGTCGTCGTGTGAACACTCGATTTTCAAGAGAACACCAGTTTCACATCATGATTCTGATGCAGTCCAAACTGTTTTTAACTTTCGGACACACAAAGTATCTCTATAGCAAATAATACCAAATATTATTTTCCCTTGCTTCTTGTGGGGCTGTGCGCGTGTAGATATGCATGATCATTTAGCAATCGAACTCGAAAATGCAGAAAGATGTGAAGCATATTCTTGGAGAATGACATGGTCAACATGTGAACTTTTGAGTAATTTATTCTCCATTTGATATTGATAAGTGTATTTTATACACTTTGTAAACCAAAAAATATAGACATTTAATAGTTTTTTAAAGCAATTATAGCCTAATTTATTGTATACTGCATTTATTAGGTAAAACTCGATGGTTGGAAGTTAAATTGAAAAAAAGAAGTGATAAGTATATTTTTACACACTTATTTAGATCACAAACATGACTTAATTACAAGCAAAATGTTTAAATTGTGACTTAATTTCGTTGAATTCATGCAATGTAGGTGTTTTTATGGAAATGGTGGAATTCAGGAGAAAAAAGCCGAAAAATAACTAAAATGGAGCAAAGTGATAGCTTAAGGACCATGGTGCAATTATCCAAAAGATGGTCCGAAGGACAAATCAAAGAAGTGAATGAGTTAAGTACCAATTTGGTGATATTATGAGATGATGGAAATAAAAGAAACAAGCAAAAAGGACCAAAATGAATCAAAATGAAAGTTCGGGGACCAAGTTGCAAATAATCCATAAATGAGACGAAAAATGGAATGAAGATTCAAGAGTATTAGAGGTCAATCGGATGAGCATATGATCGAAGTATTATCAAGTATCAACTTTCAGGCGAAAAAGCTATTCTCGTGATTTTTAGCCTCTACTTGAGATCCATTTTTGGCATAGTAAACATCAGAATTTGAGCAAGCCTACTTCTATCAAAAGTGAAGATCTTTGAGTTTTCTGTCCAATGAACTTTGAATCACTTCAATCGGAAATCAGGAGAAAAAGTTATGATCAAAATACTAAAAACTATCCGGCAGAAAGAATCGCATAACTATGCAGTCGCATAGTATAAACTCTATGCGGTCGCATAGAAGCCTCCCGAGAATTTTTTCTCAAAATTTTTTACTCTATGCGACAGCATAGAAATGTACTATGCGATCATATAGGTATATTCTGGGGGCCGATTCTGCAATTTCCTTATACGATCGAAACTCTTTTGGTAACCTAATTTTTACACGATATAAACACCAAAAGACGTCCAGAAAGGGGGAGAACATATTGGAGGTAGAAGAACACTTCTTGAAGAGGATTTTGAGCGCAAGAACAAAGATTTACACGAAGAGCTTCAAGATTTCTCAAGATTTGATAATCCGGTGATGTCTTTTATCCAAAATCCGATGTATTCTTTTATTTTAACCATGTTAGGCTAAATTTTCATGTGCTAGGATTTGCGATGAATCTTATATTATGAACCCTTAATCTTGAATTTTATTTATTTGCCGTTAAAACATGTTTTTAATTATTGAATGATTGGCATGGATTTATTCTCTCTACAATTATATGCGCAATAGTTGTATGAGATTTGTGACTTGTTTTACCCTCGAGAGATGAAAAATAAGTTAGACATTATGTTAATTATCGTAAAGTTCGATAGGGAATAGAAATATACCACTATACTTTACGTGATCTTTAAGTATTCATAAATCTTTAATGCATTTTTATATGTTCGCATCCGTCATAGAAATATAGTCGGATCGCATATAAAAATAAGTTTAATTCTACTTGAGAAAGATTGTTAAACAAATTAAGAATATTGATCTTCATAATTGAATCCTGTTGTCAATTTTATAAAATTCGGATTAAAGGGGATTGATATAAGGGGATTCGGGATTCTAGTGCGCATTTCGTTATCATATTTTTATAAAACTTGCATTTAGTTATAATCACGCATTTAATTTAGTTAATTTAGACTTTATATTTATAAGTAGGTTATTAAATCCTAATTTAGTTAGCGAAAATATCAAAATTTTCTATTGTTTCGATTAAAGCGACGATAGGTAAAATTGAACTAATTAATCCATGTGGGACGATATTCGGACTCATTTAATCCACTTTATTACTTATTAACAAACCGTACACTTGGAATAGTTTTAAATCGAAAGAAATAATTTCGCGAACAAGAAGCGAAAAAGGACTAAATACATAGTTGAGGACCAAATTGAAAATATCCAATGGTTGAATTGGACCATAAGAGATATTTTAAAATTTTATGGGAGTCAATTGGATGCAATTAGAAATAAAAAAGAAATGGAATATCATCAAAAAATATTACCATAAATCGACTTCCAATTACATCATATATCTTTCAGATTTTTTGTCAAAGATTACGACCAATTTTAGGCATAGTAAACCTCTGAATTGGAAAATATCTCTCTAGGAAAATTGTAGCCATTTTAGTCAGCTTTCCAACGCATTTTGAATCAACTCATTTGAATATCGGGAGACAAAGTTATGATCATCAAAAGAGGAGAATTCATTGTTTTTATGAGAGAATTGAAGGAGACTTACAAGAATTCAATTAAGTAAAGATTCAAACTTGGTATTGGACAAAAAAGATAAAGCGCAAGTGGAGATTCATTAAAAAACCATTGAAGAGATTCAAGATTTCAAAATTTATCTTCATCTTCACAATTTATCAAAAATTCTGGTTATGTCTTTCCACTTATATATGATTTCTTGTAATTTCAATATATTAGGCCAATTTTTCATATTTGCTAGGATGTAATGAACCTTTGTTATAAATTTTTAATTTGAATAATTTAATTGACGTTAATTTGTTTAATTTTTTGAATATTTATTATCGTTTTCATGCTTTTTCAATTAATTGACCACTAGTTGAATTGTTTGTGAATTTTGTTGTTATTGAGAGAGGCAATAGGATCATTAGCACAAAATAATAAATATTGGAGGTTCGAAAGAGGATAGAGATTTATCTCTATACTTCATATGGTTTTTATAAAATGTTCTAACTCGTTTAATGCATTTATCATGTTCGCATCTTTCATTGAGGAATAGGAAGATCGCATGAAGGGAATAGATTTGATAACTATCGAGAGAGGTTTTCAATTACAATAGGAACATTGACAACAAGCATGATTTCAAATTGTAAATTTAAATTGTTGAACTAAAAATGGATTAGTAAGGGAAATCCACATCTTAGCAATATTTCTCGCGAATTTGATAAATTTTTTAGTTTGCTTTCAATTTAGTTGCCAGATTTAATATTGTTTAGTCACATCTTAATTTTGCTATTCGATTAAGAGTATTATTAATTTTAACTGGATCAAAAACATAATCATCGTGAGTTCTACACTTTACACACTACTATATTACTTGTTCACGATCCCGTTCACTTACGGGTAATCAAACGATCAAGTTTTTTGTGCCATTACCGGGGGACAATTGTTTTTTGACTAGTTTTAGTTTATTCTAGCTTTAATCTGAATTTTAATTTTAATTTTTTTTTGTTTTAGTTTATTATATTAGAAAAACTTTACAGTGTTTCTTACTTTCTTTTTCAGGACTTTGTATGCGAAGTTTGAGAACTGGTGATCCTGCTCAATTTGATCCAAAAATCGAACTAGCATTCAACTTTCGAAGAAGACAACAGCTTGAAACACACCAAAAACAAAAAGAGGAAGACATGGCAAACGAAAATCCGAATCAAATAGCCATCGAGGCTAATTTGGGAGTAGCACAACAGAATATCGCTGCAATGAATGAAAATGCAAGGCTCATGGGAGAGTATATGGTTCCACCAGTAGTGGAAAGTCAGTACAGTATCGTATATCCGGCGTTTGGTCAGGCAAACTTCCACCTGAAAACAGATGTCATCAACATGTTCCAAAATACGCTACAATTTTTTGGGAAAGCTACAGAGAATCCCAACTCATATATCAAGATTTTTGGACATGTGTGCAA